TTTTATTTGTGCAACAAATGAAAATATAAAATCGAAACCAAACTTTTATGGAATGGAATTTTAATGTTAACAATATCAAGCATTTTCTAAGGAATATGCAAATCCAGTTTAACATGATGTCAATTTTCCATCATGAACTTATCTTAGCTTGCAAAAATGAACACAAGAAATTGCAAAATCTTTTATAATATTTCAGCAAGTAACACAAATTTTCAATTTTGTAGACCAAGATTTGCACAATGCATCACTCTGTCTAATGATGAAATGCACTTATCTGTTAGTGGAATAAATGAATATGAGAATGGACAGAAAGCATAGCTAAGCAGTCAGCCATCATTGTCCTGCACAGTATCTATGCATAATTTATGATCCTCAATCTCTATTTCAAAGTCTAATTCCAGATAATAATGATATGCAAGTCCCCAGGCCCTCCAGAGAGCCCAGGTCTGTCATTAGAAGTAGCTGTTGCATATCTAATGATAGCCAGTGGCACACCCAGTCACAAAGCTGTTCTATGTCAGTGTCTGTCTCTGACATAGGATTGTACCAAACACTGTCAATATATACAAGTAGTTTTGTGGCCTACTGGTGGTGTAAAAAAATCCCTATCCATGGTCACCAGGAAACCAGTGGTGGTTGTTATTGATTTTTTTTAGAGAACCTCAGTGGTTCAACAATGTTCTGGTGGAAGAGTATGCTGATCAGCCATATTGTCACTGTGCAATTCAAACTGCCAGCTACCATAACGAAACTTCCACACGAAAAATTTATATGATTAAAACATATGAACAGTTCAATCTTTGATGCAGAAATATCTTACGCATTTGAATTCAAAATCTTGGTCTTAAACAAGGTTATAAGGACAAAATTATGACATAGGAAAAACCTACACCATGTTTAGTTAAATGAGAAACAAACTCCACAAGGATGACACAATAACTTATATATACAGAATTGTTGAAAAATTATCACACCAAAGAAATCATCAGTCAGCACCCTAAATTTAGAATGTCACATCCAGTAATAATATGAGCTTCCCATAATCCCTGACTATATCAAGTAGCAATAAAACCCAGCAAATTTTATGTCATGCCATGTTTATCCATCCCTTGTAATATCTAATACTATATCAATGTCACATAATATGCCCATCCCCGACTTTAAGTCAGAGGTAATACGTAAACTTTTTAACTGTAAAATATGATATAACATCATGGCCTATAACAGAAGGCAATATCAAAACCACAAATAAAAAAAATAGGCTGGTACTTACTTGTTGAAACTGAAAAACAAGTCGACAACAAACAAGCATGGTATCTTTATTAAGGGCAACCTGAAGTAGGAAGTATCCCTTCAATACATTAGCCAAGAAAGACATGTTGTAAGTCTGGCCGATTTTAACCACCTAATGCATTTCATTGTTATACATAACTGACAATTATCTTTTTTTACAAAAAAGGTTAGCTAATGCAGTATCATTGAAGCAAATGAAATGTTGATATTGTTGTAACAAATTTTTCATTTCAATAAAAAAAGATTTTAATTTCTGAGATTTCTTGACAGGAAACATGTCTTTCACTTAAAACAAAGGGTGTCTAGGATTACAGAAACACTAGAATTTTTACAAAACAAAGTTATGTAATTAAGTAATTAAGAACACCACATATTTTATAAAAGTAAAAATAGATTAACAAATATCCATTACAGCCAGAAAATACCACTTAGGCTTTCACTTTATCACTTTTTAAACATTTATCAATGTCGAAATTAAAGTGTGGATATCTGTCATTAAGGTATTTCTAATTTAAGAAACAAGACATGCATACATATATACAGCGAAACAATAAAAAGCTTTCTAAATCATGTAAATCTGTTTTCATATATATAACCACAAGCAGAATGAAGGCAACACAGCTCATTGTCTGATCATTTTTATTTGTCCTTGACCAGAAACCTACATTGTCCAGCTTAAGAATTATTGAAAAAGTTAGATACCTCGGAAAAGGTAACAAAATATCTCTATTCTGTGCATGGCACTTTGAAGTTATCAGTGACATGAAACATATACTAATCTAAGCACTAAGACTAGCTGATACATGTGAAACAGCGTCTTTTAAATACATGTGATGGAAAAATGAAAAATGATTAAGCAAACTTATTCAAGAGTCACTGAATCCATTGTTAAACAGGCCAGATACAAAAACTCTATAGCCAAGACAACACAAAATACTTTGATATAAAATTCTATTGTTTCGCCATCCTTAAAATATTCTCTGAATGGCATAAACCGACTCATCCTTGGAAACTTTGTTCTGTAGGTTGGGGAAATATTTTGACTTGTTGAGGCAAAGAAAGTATTTATATTTGGTTTGATGCTGGCCACGAATCATAGTCAATGATTTGTTTAGCAGTTGGGAGTGTATTACACATTTAAAAGACATTGGAATGAAAAGCACTTGCATGCAATTTCCAGAAATTGGAGACCCAAGATTCTGGAGAACAAATTCAAAAAGACAAAAATGAATATGCAATTCATCGTAGAATGAATTCCAAAGGGGATATATCTTTTTGGGTCGGTATGGGTCAATGCCAAACAGATCATATTTTTCTACCGCTGGAAAAGGGAGGCAATTGTACAAAACAAAATACATAAAGGTAGAACCAATTTTCCATTTGAAAACTGCAATTGTTTTTCAACAACTGTCAACTGTATGTGTTTGTTTTTTTACATTACAATCATTAGTGACCTAATGAATTTCGATAAGTGTTGGAATTTCAACCGCTGGAAAAAAAAAATCAAGATGTCTTAATGATGTTCAAGATCCCAAATTAATTCCACCCTTTGTGCAAACAAATATAGTTTACAATACCTTACAGAGGCGAATATAATCCGAGCTGATGCCTCTTCCATTGAGCAAGTGGTGTAACAGGTATTCACGGATGAATATTTCGTCCACAACAAAATTAATCCATCTTACCATACAAATCATTTACTCCCAAAAAAGGTCGTCGTGTTTAATCCAACAGCAGTATACTTACCTGTGTATAGTAATTATGGCACAGCGTTGACACATATATCCATTTAATCCATAGGCACATCTTCATCACATTTAATTTTAGTACATCCAAAATAAATCCGCGGGGCAAAAATTCTACATCCAAAACCTACATTCCAATTCTATGTTGCACCAGGAAAGCAATCCAGGAGGCAAAAACAATAACCATCATTGTTGAAACACGGACAAAATCAAACAAAAAGCAGCACACTCAGACAACGGATGCTGCTAAGCAGAATTACGGATAAATGTGTACATCCATGCTGACCAGATTTAATACATAGAGGTAAATAGGTTTTACAATTTAATCCAGGGTATGAGGAGAGACTAAATATAAAATGTACTAATTCACCAAAAAACACAGAACTTATAATAAAGAAAAAATCTGCTCTAATGAATCCACAACTACAGGCATCCAAGTCGACGGGACTCTCTGACGTAAATCCAAGTCCAGGTCAAGGTTGATTATATCCAAGTCGTTCAAAAAAGAGCTCAGATAAATATCCAAACTTTTATTAAAATGTCTGTACTCCAAAGGTTGTCATGAAAATGAGCAAACATCATATTCATGCTGGCAGGTTAGATCCAATATGTCACCCAAATTGTAATAATCCATTCAAGGTATTAAATCCATGAGTGAGGTCAAAGGTCATTTATCTTCATGTCGTCAATATGTTTAAATATACATATATTTATATCAAATATAGAAACTTAATGTAAATAAACAAATTTTAAAGTCAAACAAATACAAAAGATACATAGATACACAGATCAAATCTAATAACAATGTCGAGATTACAAGGTTTATTGTGAATAATTAGACAACAGCGAAACATTACAGGATAGGATTTGGGAAGGGTTGTAATGCATATCGAGATTTTGTAACACTTTTTCTTCTTTCACAACTAGCCCTCAGAACCTAACCCAACCCATGAAAATGAATTAAAATGTAATCGAAATTATCTAACCCGCTGAACAAGAGACGAACTGCCACCAGAAAAAACCCAATGAAAGCGGGTTGGAATGCAAATTAACTTGTAATTGGGAATGACCACGCAACCTTCCGTCAAAAACTGGTTTTAAAGGATCCTTCTCACTGTCATGTACATTGAAACGGGATAAGGTCATTAAAATTTGGTTAAAATAGTTGAACTAGTAAGAGGTTTAATCCATTAAAATTGAGTTAAAATTCAATTAACAAATGAAAACTGTGTTAAAAGGGTTTCCTAAACACTGAAGACTAAGTACTTGAGGTACAATGGACTAGGACCTGAATCAGAACCTTAAAGTAACACTTGGGTATATATAAAGTAATGTATAATTTAGAATGATTTCCTTCAAGAGAAACTATAGGCCAGCTACCTGACAAAGTATAAAGGGTTACCACTGCAAAACAGGATTAATGGTTAAATCCATTAACTATCGTGCATATGTATCAAAAAATTCCTTTCCATAAATAGCCCAGTATACAAAACTCGTTTTGCACAGGGGAAGGACGAACTGAACATACAACGAAGGCTAGCTATATATCGGGTTAAAAACGGGGCAATTTATAGTGACCTACAAAGCATCTTTCCTTCCGGAGAAAGAAATTTCCAAATTAGGGCAAAATTAAGAACAAGAAATATCAGTTGGACGCAAAATGTTTTACTATAACAATTGTGTATTTGTGATGTGTGTGTTTTTTTCATTTTGAAAATGTTGTTTCCGAATTAGTATTTGAGAATTTGAACTTTACCGACGTCCTGGTACAAACTATTTTAAACAAAGTCCTATATAATTTCAATATTATAGTAAACAAGTGGTCATGTCTTTGTATCTTCATTGTATAAAACATTACAAGAAAATATACCTCCTCCACTCTCTATTTGTGATTCCAGCAAGAGAAATGAAATTCAAAGCTATTATGGAACCTTTCCTTGACCGTATGTCACCTTGACTTACCCTTTGGGTCTATTAGTATAGGCTGTCGGCCGAGAATGGGAGGGAAAGGCTGTGGTACGGGGGACAGGTTCCTGTCTCGTGCGAGTGACGGCACTTCCTGTTGCCGAACCCTCACTGTACTCTGTCACCAAAGACCTGCTGTCAATTGTATTCTCACTGTTGTGCGCTTTCGACGCCGACTTAATGTCCCCAAAAGCTACGGTGGCCGATATTCCCTCTTCATCCTCCTTTTTGTCGTGGAATTTTACACTTTGTATCTTTCCATATCTGAAAATAAAACAATAATCTACCTTTATAAAAGTACATTTAAAATGTGTTTCATCTGAGGAATTTAATGTCTTCACTATCTTGAGATGTATTCATGACTTCAAAATTATTCATCAACAAGACCAAACATAATCGGTTTCTTGAGACCAAGACATTTCTATCGAGTTTTATCAGACACAGGAATATTTCAAGTTGTATCAGAAATGAGAATATTTTACAAGACAAACTTCAAACAAAATACCCCTGAAAGTGATCTTTCTTCATGTTCCAAGTCGATGCAGAAAAATTTGTGAAAATAAAGGAAAACGGCGATAACTGAAAGATCACAATTTTTTATGCGTGTTTTTGTCTTAACTATTGTCCAATAGAAAGAAAATGTTGGAATCAATAAAAACAGATTTGGGCTATCATTGATACTGTTAGTTGAAAAACTGGAATCCTATATCATTTATTCAATATATCTGATGTAAATTAAAACATAACATTATTGAAATCAAAATTAATGTGCTTCTCATCTTGATGAAGCTGCCATTGAAGATTTCCTACTTCAGGAACCAATTCTATCTGTTTTAACTATAAAACCAATAGAAGTTTTTATCCTGGTCCCATGGTGTGAAATCTACAAACCCTGATCATATTAGGTGCAAATATAATTCACAAGGATGGTAATGTAGCCAAACTGTTCTAAAAACCTGCCAGTTTTTCATATGTAGTCGGCAGGATAAGTACTAGGTTTTTGATGCAGCCTATCAATATTTTTTTTTCGTGATGATGATAAATTCCGAGATCTCCTGCAGGCCTTTCCATGAGTCACACAACTATGTTGATGCTCTGACATTACTTGCCATGAATATCTTTAATGCAACAAGTATATTGTACATACCACATATTTGAAAGTGGAAGTAGGTGCATATATTTATATTTTTTTTCAAATCTACGTACACAAGTTAACCAATTCTGATTCTGGAATCTGAAAGTGGAAAATTGTATTAATCAGGGATCTCAGAAATTCAACTTCACTTATCCTTTGTATGAAGGCCTGGAGTACTACAGCAACCTTTGAATTAGAAGTGGCTGGGAACAGCCCTCCCATCTCTTGTCAAGCGAGAAAACATATGCACGTCTGATAAATTATACATCCAGACTGCAATGCTTCAGATTCTTGGTGTTCCAGCGACCAATGTCTGCAGACAAAGCTCTCGTGTGACTTTATCTGTGGAGTGAGATCCACAACATAATCACCATTATCTTTGATAAAATAAATACATCAATTTTATTTTTCTGACATCACAATTTTTCAACTTCATGAAATGTTTTGAATGAGGATAGAATTATCAATGATAGACATATTGGTGAATCAGGTATCTGTTTCAAATTTATGAAAAATTCTGAAAATGTCTTTATTTTATCTGTGTGGATGGAACAATTGATTCAGAATAATTCACGATGATTTTGTTACACGTAGTTCTGTGTTAAGTTCAAACATGTGAAAGCCTGTGTGTATACAAGCTTTCAAGTGCCTCTGATATTGCTAGTCTTTTTCTATATAACAGTTCCCTGAACAGTAAAATATGAACTTGTATTTATTCAACAAGGAAGCCTAATTCTACATACATAGTGTATAATGTACAGACAGCAGGTCATGGCAGATTGCCAAGTATACAGCATTTAGCTAAGCCTGCCTTTAGCTCCTCTATACAAATGCTAGCCCTATACACAATGTACACTGTAAACCTGAAATACAAAAGATCCCCTAGTCCACAAATAACTTGGCTGGCTGCCAAGTAATTAATTTTGTTTTGCAGAGCTAGAGGCAGTTATCAGTATTACTGCTATGGTGTTGTATATAGACCAAGGGCAACCCACACAAAACCCAGCCAATGCTGACTTGGCACATCGCCAGCAAATGGTTCAGTCCATTTATTTAGCTAGGGCTGTTTTCTGGCTAGCCTATACAAAATCCTGCAGGAAAGCTGCAAGCCCCCCTAGTGACTTAGCAGCAGTTGACTAACCTTGATGATTCATGCTCAGGTGACCTGCCCAGCTCAATAGCTGCCGACAGCCTGAGCTCTGAGAAATCTGGATCTAGGGACTGAGAGGAGAAAGAAAACCAACAGAAAACCACCAGCCATAGAAAGATGGAAAAGCTTACTTACAATAAAATGACTCTCCTTCAATGGAAATTTTTACATCATATTGGAATTGGTTTAACTTGTCCACTTTAAAATGGTTTAGACTGTAGTCAACAAAACAGAATCGTACCGGGTTTGTGGGTTTGTAGCCCTACCAAGGACTAAATTTTATCACAAAACCGTTTCCCAATTACCGGATTTTTAGTTTGGATATTAATTTCTCGCTGCGGAATATATCTTTAACACAAATAAAAAGCCAGGATTTCTCATCTCTGAGTGAACTAATAAAGTAGTATTGTCTGTGATTTTGTGTCTGTGGAAAATCCAAAATGGCCGCTACTCCAGGATTATAATGTATTAGACAAAGGAGATCTGTATGATTTTTGTTTGGGTTTATAAAAAAATTGTTATGATGACCATCAAGCCTCTCTACTAACTTCCTGTACAAAGCTTTTACCTCTATAATATACCATTTACCCTAAAATAAGCACACCCAAGTGGTAAACCCTCTATCATGGTATAGTCATTACCGTATTTACTCTCATAAGAGATCCCTCTCTATAATAATGGAGGTGGTTACAAACAAAAACGTGACTCGAGATCATTTTATGCTTTTACTAACTTCTCTGCATGTGGTGTAGCATCTTTTTTTTTAATTCATCAGCTAGTGAAATATGTACATGTATGCTAATGACGTAATGCTTGTCCACTGATGCGTAAAAATTATTTTCTTTTCTTTTCAGATCCAGCTTGCAGACAGATTATACTCCTATTGCATGTCATTAATTTGAAATAATAACATCATTTTATTAACCATTTTAAAATGTTAGGTGCCCATCAGACATGATCTGTACACGCTGTAAGTTGGTCAGACTTCTTGTATGCATGACTTGAAGGAATATCAATGAATGTAGAAATTATGACCAATGAAATCTCTTGCAGATGTTTTCTATTTATTTATAAAGCATATAGAATCATTCATTTCATATTAAATGATATTCATGTTTATATATTTTTGTTAGTTTACACATTACCGTAGTTATTGTAATATTGAATCATCAATTATTACTTAAGTTGTGTTTGTGTGAACATTTTCCCCCTACCTCTCCTATTTTTATTTTGTATCACCTGTGCATCATTTTTTGCTTTATCACCCAAAAGTTTGATTTACACTGAAATACATTATATATATATATACACATATCAGTTTAGCATTACAAGTATCATTTAAAAAATTAATTTCCACTATAATACAACAAAAAACTGCAATCAACTATTTAACAAGCAAAGCAGATGATTTTTCCATGAAAGAAGAGTATGCGAGGATGTGATCTTAATTTCAGTTGTTTCCTATACATAATACTAATGCATCACATACACACCGTGAAAGGGATTCATGTTACTTGTTATATTTCTGATAATAAAGAATATTTATGGATTTTTTGGGTGTTATTAATGTTAAATTCATTGATCAACACATATTTTGTGATATCTGAAATTTTGTACAGATTTTATGTCAAATTTTGAAACACTGGTGTAGTTAACTATATCCTTCAAAATACAAAATGATCACCAAGTTGATTTCTTGATTGTTTTGAAGCATTTAAAAAAAAAGGGCAATTTGTGCAAATGAAAATCTACAAACAGGAGGCCAAACCACATTTCAATGTTTTTGTAAAGGAACACACAATTTGGCTTTCTTGATACCTTAAGATTCAAGTAAATGATGTTATTGTAAAAAAGTAACCAGATTTTATAATGACTTGTATCTTTTAATTTAATTTTACTTTGGTAATTTAAAACATAATTGTAAAGAAATACATAATCTCATTGTGAGCCGAGTAATGTATCCACCACAGACCTGTTAATGAGACTTGTATGTATGGAATTAAATTATGATGGAAGACTTCTAATCTTCAACTTCATCTTAAAACTTTGCTCATATAAAGACAGAGCAATGCAATGTAGTTTCCATTTGTCAAGTATTGGATGGAGTACAAATCTATTTATATAATGCAATACAACTTGTTGTATGACATACAGCCATCCAATATGTAATTCCTGTTTCAAATCGTGTGCACTAAAAGTATTTAAAACAATCATTTATTTTTATAAGACTAAAAGATATTTCTAATAAATCTGTCAAATTTCCAACAGTTTGGCAACTGACTTGCACCTCATTTTATCAATTATCTTTTGGAAGACACAGTCAAACACATATTAATAAAGAGTTGTATGCTTGCTCAGCTATCGAACTGAAATTTAAACATACAGTATTCTTACAATATGTAAATCCAGTCGGACATTTTGCTCTAAGTTACAATCCAAAACTATTATTCATATCAATTTTTAAAATTAATCAAGATTGAGATATTTCTAATTACACACAATTCATCATGTTAATGATTCTTTCAATAGTTAATACAAGATACTAAAAACGGCCCTATGCTGGAAAGTCAGAAACATTGATGTATATGGCTGGTTGTGTAGACGTATGGAATTCAACTGAATTACTAATTTAACCAAAAGTCTAGTTATTTCAAAAAGGAATGTCTATTAACAATGACTTAAGAGTTAAAAGCATTTTTAATATGTTTAACTTTAATTTGCAGCAGGTTTCCCCACTTTATAAATATCACAAGTGGCCCTTGTTGGACCTATCACTCAGCTCTGCTGGTATTATCATCCTTTGCCAAGAAACAGGAAGAATTATATAAGAAATAATTAACAGCTGTTTATCAAAATGTTCAAACGTTCTTTAAAAAAATATCTCAACTACAGCTAGGGGGAGGAAATTTGAAACAAAATTACATAATTACTTTCACTTTCATCCTAACATATATCACGTCCAGTTTAAATAATACTTTCCTCTGGAAAGAAAACATCTTATTTCCTTGTCTGTTTAATTTTTTTCCCTTCAAATTCAAGCCTTCAGCTTTACATCTCTATAAATACTGTAGGGTCATGTATCAATTTACTAAATGTTGATGTTACAAATTTTCTGAAAGTAAATCATATTTGACTTCAAATTGGATTGTAGCCTGGATATCTGTACATAACTTAATTCTTCTTCATGAATTAAAACAGATTCAATAAGCATCTTTTGATGTTTAAGGGGCACAAGCTTTCAAAAGCTGCCAATATACAACTTCAAATAAAGGCCCTCTGACACACTTCACATCATTTTGTCAAAAAAGATTTATTGTATTCCTAAAGATAAGGACCAACAAGGACGTAAACTTTACCAGAAGCATCAAATATCACTAGACAGTTATACACAGGAATCCAGGAATCGACAAAAAGTGCTGGAGAATGGATGTCACTGGAACCAACCAAACACCTAAACAAAACCTTGTGCTAGGAAGGAGTTGTGTATACACATTAATGACCTTGACCTCATTGTGACCTATCAGAAATGCCAAGCATATGTGTTTACATTCCTCAACATTGGAAGTGGTCAACTGCAACCAGCTGCGTTATATAAAGCAGCTTGCGAACAAGATTATTTTTTATGAAATAAGTGATAAAAAAATTTAGAGTTGGTATTTAATGTTAAACATTGTTACAAGCAGCAGGACATTTCTCTATTGTAATGGGCAAGGACATGAAAAGAACGCCAATTCATCACAATAATGTGAACAGGGATTTGGTCAAACATGGTCAATTTGATCATCTATAGCCATGATGGCAAGCAAGATCTGAAAATAACAAAAATTCAAGGTTCCATAGAAAACCGCTGCTATACATGTAGTTGTATACAGTGTCTTTGTCTATCAATGATACATATCAATGCATTTTCTTGGTAAAATCCCCTAAATAACATCACAGTAAATAACTTGTTCATAATTGGCCCCTATTACCCAGCACATGATTACAAAACTCTAAATTTGCTGAATTAAATGAAGCATTTCTAACATCTGAATTCTTAGTCCATCTAACTGCCATAATGTAGTCCATCTAACTGCCATAACGTAGTCCATCTAACTGCCATAACGTAGTCCATCTAACTGCCATAACGTAGTCCATCTAACTGCCAGAATTTTATCTCAAATTGGATAGAAAAACAACAAATCAAAGATGCCCTTGATATCCATTGGTTAACAACAATCAGTAACTGGAACATGTCTCTGAAAACGATATCAACTGAAACAGAACCTGCTACCTGTATACACAATTTTAGACTCAGCAATGAAACCAATATACTGAAATACACTAACAATCATTCTTTTATGAATGATTGAATCTATGAATGCAACAGCTGTTATGATAGATGTAGAATAAATTAGCAGGTCCCTCTCCTGTGTCCATTATGTACTTATAATGTATTTAAATAATTGATTGCCAATGCCATTACCACGAGGAACTTATGTAAACCTTGTAGCGGCACCTTCAGCCTTATACATACAAATGGACCCGATACAAATTACATTTCCACCTGACCATTAGTCACCATGGAAACCAACAAGAGAAATCCAATCATTTTGCGATGGATACAAAGAGCTATCTATTAGTGTGAGCTAGACTTTAGGTTAGACTTTAATATAGTGGTACTTCTGGTAAACTTCCTCCCCATCAACAACTCAATTAACAGTGTTCTCATGTAAGATCTGACAGATGGTGTGTTTGAAAAACCAGTAGGCTAAAAAAATTGTAACTGTTAGTGGTTTTGTTCTGGAGAAGTTTTGATGTAACAATTGCCAGCAACCAGCTTTTAATTCTGTTCTTCCTAAACTTAACCCTGACAATTATCTTACAACATCAATATGGTGCTTTTTTCTCTTGTTTCTCTAGAAATATGTTTATATCATCCTCCAAACATTATGGTAGCATCATGTCAGTTATAGTCCTGTTGGCCTGTGTCCACAATAATCTTCCTGATAAATTACAAAGAATTTTTACATCATTAAAACATTTTCCTGTACCCTTTGAAATAAAACAATCTTTGCAGACAGAAAGAAATAAGAATACATCTACCACTTTGAACCTTCAAAAACAGATTTTCATGATGATTAATTTCAAACCAGAAAGCCAAGGAGACAAAATCTCACAATATGGAGACCCCGTGTACACAGCTGACCTATGAAGCTGTGTCATGGTGATAACATTTATTGAAAAGCTGGTCACATGAGACTCGAACAAACAGGAGAAAAACCGCCCTGCCCTGAGTGTGTGTGGCAGCTCTCAACAGGTAAAGGCATTGAAACGTATCGCACTGTAAATAGGCTTTACTTCGCAAACTGTACAAAATGTTTACAGCCCTGTGAAAAATATCTGTCGTCTATTGTTCAGTCAAATCTCCTGTTTGTGGGACCTTCCGATGAAAAACTGTGCTATTTTTGAAGTTTTGTCCGTCATTCCTTTCATTCTCGTTTTATATTTCTAAGGCATTAGCAAAATGATGTATAGAGAAATGTTACATGAAAAGAGCTTCATGTACATATAACCTACAAGGCTGATGAGCTACGACGAAACATTGCCTGTAAGAACTCTAAATCCACTGATCTACTATCTACTGAAAACCATTACAAATATGAAATTGACTGCAGTAATGCTAAGTTCTTCTAATGTCTTTAAAACCATACTTTTCACCAGAAATCCATTCGAAAATTTCCAAGAACACAAGATTAATAACTTCACCAATTTTTTGTAAGTCTGGCCTTAAGTAATCCATCAAAGCTGGCAAGCAGGCCGAATTCAATTACTTTAATCTATATCCAGATGCTGTTTGGCAAGCTCAGACTGGAGCGGTGAAGACTTTTAAACCATTTTCTCTTCTATGGAAGGATTTTCTTAAATCCTGCATTAGAAAAAGTTCACTAACGACCTGGTAACAATGAGTGCTTTATAATGGCAATATCCACTAACACAAACGGGAAATCCAATCCTGATGAAATCAAACAAATTCATACCACTGCCAGTATTTTTACCTCTTTTAATTTTTTTTCTTCTTAAATAGAAACACTTTTCTCTTTTGAGTATTTCCTTGAGGCACAATTTATTATAATTTAATCCTGGATGATGAAATATCTTCTGTGTAAACAAGTATAATCCGTTAGAAAACATCAAAGCTGAAAATATATTCAGTGAATATTTCCTCTGCTAATCCATCACACAAAATGTCATCAAGGAGTTTTCTCCCCACAACATCATAACAAGCTGACCACATAATGTAACCACACTGTTTAGCATAAATCCATTTCACTGTTGAAAACAAACCCTTGTTTTACTGTAAATAATCCAATGGTCACTTCACATTGACACACTGTATAAATTAATTAAATTTCAACCCATGTTGAAAATGCAACAGATTTGCAGGTAAAAGGGGAATTTTTGATCAAATTACCAACATCATTATGACTGGCCTGATTTCTCAATCTATCGTTTTCCACATACCACAAATAATCTGACTGTAATTGATCAACATGTTTTCCCTATAAACTAATGTACAACTTTCTAAAAGGTGATTTAAGCAATTTTTGTTTTGTCTTAAGATAAATTACCAATATGTAAAAAAAAATTTAAGAGCAAACTACTAATCTCAAAAATTTAAATATACATATTTATCCTAATATTCAATACCTGAAAATGTTTTTAATGTAATGGGCAATTTATTAACCCCCAACAAGTCCACAGAAAGAAATTTTCAACTGTTTCACTTAATACAACAGATTTTTTTTAAAATATCAATGATTGTAAAATATAAACAAAAAATGACAACAAACAGTGTCATCAAAGTATGTCACTTTAAAAACACAGAGAAAACTTCAAATCTCACAGCAAGATCAATTATTGATGTTGCATTGTCACATAAAAGTTTTATTTAAATCTTCAAGAATATATTAAAACTTTTCTAAAATGCACAACAGTACAAGGATATTAGTTACATTAAGATTATGGATGTACTTGTAGCTGTAATTGAGATTCTGCTGTTTAGACACCTAGCAGGTGCCCCTTAATAAGTACTATTCCCAAGTCCTTCTGCACTATGTTCCAGGTTTGATATTTATTTGGACTTCTGGTTACACGATTACATAACATCTTGTGCAATGATCAACACAATATTACATAATGTTATCTGGATTTCTCTCTCCCCCAGTGAAGACCTATGACGAAATCCCATAATATTCCAACACCCCGGGGAAAAGACCATCCAAAGCAAGCGTTCTCTATAATGCACTGGAGTTTTCAATGTTATTCCTGTATCCACAGTTAATTAACGATTTTCAGTAATACTTTTTCAACATTACAAAAAATAAATATTTCACAATACAATCCATACAACATAGACATAAAGAAACTGACGTTTATATTTACAAATATAAGCAAAACCTCAACTTGATTTTTTCCTTGACGGCTAAATATTGTGCAGTGCACAGCGATAAACAAACGATCCACATCGTGGGGAAGGCTCGAAGTCTGTCCTACATCATGGCGTATAAAATCATCTTTCGAATCATGACATTTACGAAATACAGAGCAACAACATAAATCAGTTATATCAATGTTTAAACGTGCTGATTTCTGGGGCAATATCATTGGAAGTATTTCCAGAACGCGCCCACATAAAATGGCTGACCCCATTCGCTCATATAGCATTGTCAACGTGCATTTCGAAGGTATGCACGCATACTTACCGTTTAAAGTGTTCAGACACCTCATCTTCTGTGACTTTTTCCGGTAAATTTCCTACGAAGAGGTACCTAGTTTCTCGAACCATCTCTTTGTCTCCTACATTACGTTAGGTTGATTCTAGTTACCATGATTTCACTGTTTCAATATCCCATGTCTTTACATCCTTCACTTTTCTCATAGCGCTATTCCTGTAGTAAAATAATTCATGCCCTTCCATGACGTCACCTACACGTGACCTTCGACCGACTGATCTTGCGAATATATTACAAAGAATCGGGGGTCGTCTCAAAATATTTTTCTCCTCTAAATTATATAAAACGTGGCAAGTTTTAATAATTTATGACCACATTGTGTTTTATAAACATAATATATCTCACGTTTATTATGGCCACATCGGAACGTCCGAAGTCTGGTTAATTTGAAGATTGCTCTTTACGAAACAGGTGCCCGCTAATTATTCAAAGTACCCTCCATGAACCGTATTTACTCTAATATAACCTACATAATTTATAAGCAACAGGAGGACGCATTATTTTAGTTACATGTGTATTCATATATTGTATGTGTCTACGCACACATCAACATTTCGTGATTTAATTAATTTTCAGCATTGGCTGAGTTTGTTCGCTTTCTAGACTGACGAATTCACAAAGGCTGATAGAGAACAAAGTCGATGTGTCATTAATGTCTGTTATGTCAGTATTTAGGACGAATGAAAAAAGGTAGTGATTAATAGCTGTCATGTCACAAATAACTATGTGAATTGAAACTTCATCTTGAAACTACAATTATGCCTAGATGGCTATTTTAGCAATGATTTTATGGTGTTTCACCAATGTACATATTACCGTAGTTAGCCATCATTAATTTATCATGACAGATGATGGATTTCGTAACACATACTGCTGTATACCAGCCCTTATGATTTGTGTATAGATACAAAATCTTAACTTCTGTGGCATAGTGTTACATGTCAATTTACATTAACGAAAAAAATATTACCTATACCATGTAGTTCGTTTTGTAAAATAGGCTTCAATAATTTATGAAACCGACCACAAATGTGCACGTGACAGATTTTTGTTGGTTTTTCCTTGATATTTTATTCCAACAGGTATTTCGTGTTTTAATGTCAGAACAAAAAAAAACGTTAATACTAGTGTGTTTGTGTTCGCTCGTTTGTCAGACAAGAAGTCATGGCATACTTTGTACAGTTACAGTACTTCTTTGTGTGGTGCCATACAAGCTCACAGCTAGGTTTAATGGCGGAACAAGCTACAGGGTTGGTTTAGCAGACGGTGACCTTTTCGAGCCACTCGGTAGCATGCTGCGTCCTACTTTTTATAGCTTTGATTATTGAATATCACGTGATTTTGTCCATGTCTGTTTTTGTGAACAGTTGTGATGTATTTTTTTTAATGTGAATATGTAGATCTATGTTTTCTGTGTAATTATTCACTGCTCCAAAATTAGCATAATCAATCATATTTCATCAGAACTTCCTTTGAAACTGAGATATGGTTTAGAATGCAGACATGAATTGACACGTCACGTATACAACGTGTACATATGTGTGTTCAATATCTATTTCGACAACAATAGAATTAATTATACTTGTCAGGCCTATGTGTAAATTGCAGTGTTCATAATGGGAAGCGCTTATAATGAAAGTAATTTCTTATCACATGACTAACACACGCCGTCACTAATTGGAGTGCGATATGTATGTACATAGCATTTCACTGAGCCTACGTTTATTAGGGTGTGGCAGCTCTTATCGTACAAGTATTGTCAGATATGCATAACACTGATCAACATTATTACCACAACAAATATCGGTTAACGACCACCAGAAATGGCAGGTATTTTCAAACAGAATAAAAAAAAATCACTGCCAACGAATATAAAGTAACAGTGCAATGTTTATTTCCTAAACCAAGACATCCGATATTCTCGTTTCAAGTTCTTATCCTCGTGGCTTAACACTAGCTCAGATAGAAAGCACAACATTCCAATATGGCGGTGTTTGACATTGAAGTATGTTGGTCTCCTTGACGTGACTAGCTACAAAGCACACAGACGGTACACGCTTTCAAACCCCAGTAGACCCGAGCCGTTAGAATTTATTTATAGAACAGGAGTTAGTATTTTGTACAGATTTTCCATCTGTCGAGTGTACGCCTCGCCTATTGAAGGCTATTTCGATGTCGCTCGAAGTGAGTTTTAACATCAAAAAACAGGTACAAGAAAGTACAATTGTAGCTCAATAACTTTCTCTCATCCTTGCTGTTTCTTCTTATTGATTTTTCGGGCCAACAAGACGAAACTCCACATGTCGCTCGGGTTCGCTTAGTAGTTCGTCGAGGCCGCGTTATCGATCTAAACCTTTGGATAGACTATGTGGGAGAGTGACGGTACACCAGACGAGTCCATTTAGTCAAAAAGGGAATTCAGATCCAGCCAAGGAAGAGTTCATCTTTGAGGGGCATTCCGGAAACGATGGACTAAGTAAACGGTGACGTGCACTGTTGTGACTACAACCATGCCTCGAGAGGTAAACCCCGTGGCGCCTACCACTAGTATGCAACTCGTTCATTATAATAACTCTCATAAACTTGGTACAGATAATGTATAACATACACGAATACACGGGGTATTGAAAAGCCAATTATGATTTAATGTATTTTTTGTAATGCATGTAAAGTTTGCGAAACTTTTCAACAATATTCACTCTATGAATTTCTATATAACTGTAAAAACAATTCAATGTTTATCTTTTTAATCATTAATTTGATAAATTGATGTCAGCAGTAGTTATCAATTTCTTTTCAGTAAACACGTTACCATAACTTTTTAATGTATTTAATTCAATCTACAAGCATCCGTTTATATTCTTTCTATAAAAGCATGAGACAGAGATGTCACTTTACCGGAAGTAATATTTATACCTCATTCTGTATTTGGACATATTTATATTTACAAGACTATACATTATTTAAGCTTCTTATGTTAATTTTTACGATGTTTATCTACTTAGTGTGAATGTTAATTTTATTTTGTTGTCAATTCTTAATTTAGATAAGTTAGTTAATTTATATATTTCAATAGCTCGTTTATTTATCTATTTTTCTTGTTTGCGTGATGTTTGTTGTTTGTTTTATTGTTTATTTCAAGAATGGAAAGGAGAGTGGGCGGGAAGAGTTTAAACCAGAGAACGTGTAGATTAAAACATGTTATCTAAAGTCTGTTTTCGATGTAATAGTGTGTGATATTTAAGATGATCTAACGGCCTCGTAGTCATTAGATTCCATCATGTCGTAAAAATTTGAATGTCATGTCACGTTATCTTACCGATGTAAAAATAAGCATACTGCTAATGCTGACGTTTATTTCATTAACAGATATTGAGAATAGACGATAGTTTTAGTTTTAGATAATATAAGGTCAAATTCAATTTTAAATAATAATATGAATGTAAGAATGAAACATAGTATTACATCATCAAACGAGCCGTTTTTATCACACTCGTTATGAAGTTTTGTGTAACCGAGGGCGATTAATTTTATTCAATTCCAAGAGGAAATTTACAACAGACATGCAAAGCAATCGATAAATCCATGAAACCGAAGAGGCTCAAACGGGTGTTTTTATAAATAAAAGACGAATATGTATCGATCTAGTGTCATCAAGTCATAGCCATACATGTATAACACATTTCATTTATGTAGTTATTTTCGTTCTAATGTTTTTTTTTACGTACTTACTAAGTTAGATATGGATTTGATATATTATAATTTTAAGAGGATTCGAAAGACGTGATTGAAACCTCCCAATGTGGGCCCCCTTATGACAGAGATAAAGTTTTCATTGTTCGTCACAAACTCTTTTAGATCCCGGCTGCGTAGGTAACCTGGCACAATACTGACTTCGCCAAGTGCACTGCGGTGAAGGCTTCCAATGTCTTCATGTTGTCTAAGTTATTGTGTGCGATCTCGATTTACATATTTTTAGCGTTGGTGAACTAACTTGCTTATGTGATTAACAGAACGCCATATGTATGAAATTAGTGAAGATATTCTGTATAAATTTTAGCTCGTCCAGGTCTACAAACTTCTGTAAGTTTATCAAAACAGTTGGTTTACATTCAGTGTATATCATATGATCTAGGCATTTCTTTGTCTCAATATTCATTTGACAATTGTACTCAAATCACCCTTTCGTAGTAAGGAATGTCTACCAGAAAATCTCGTATAAAATCTTCAAGAACCTCCCAGTCACCACTATCGCCCTGATATACATTGTGGTTTGTGGTGTTTTAGCATAGGATGCGAGCGTGTGCCGCGTGTGCCACAACATCTCCCCCTCCCACCCTCCTCAAAAAAAAAAACTTATTTGGATTAATATTATGTTAACTTTAACAACCCCAAAGAGCTTTAGACCAATCTGAAATACTTGCTTATATATATATACATGTATATAAGTATATAGTACCTTTTCCTCTATAAGAACTTTTTTTGTAAATCCACTTTATATACTCCCACATCCAAATCTAAACTAAGTAACGCCTTCGTTCTCTTGTTATCAAAGCGTTCTATTCACAGAAATGTGAACTTTACCGGAAAGTATATCGTGAAAACTATATCCAAATCAAAGTAGAGAAACACACGGAAGACGAAATCATAAGAGTGATAGAATTTCTGGTTAACAATATGTTCGTCGTGGGCTGTGATAAAATCATACAACAGACTATTGACATACCTATGGGAACTTGGGAACTATGTTGTCTCATAGCTTATTTGTGTTTTTTTCATACAAGGACGAATTTATCGAAGAATTTATAAAACGTGACACAAAGACCCTTCGAAGTCCTTATTTTTTTCAGATATATTGATGACGTGTTGTCTTTAAACAACACGGAAATCATTAACCATGGGCATCGCACTGGAAATCAAGGACACGGCAGACTTAAGCTGTGTACCTCTATCCTTTCATGCAATGAAACAAAAGGGACAACTTTGTTGTTTACCTTGTTTCAGGTTGGAATGAGACTTGCTTGGATTGACTACGATTTACATGGCGTGGGTCATCAATGAAACAGAAAACGTTTATTCTTCGGGAAAACCTGGCTTTCTTCTCGTTGTTCTTTATCACGGGTATACGTGTGAATCTTTCTATTGCCCATGATTTGCAGTTTCGTCGAATTTGAGTTTGAATTAAGATTCAGTTAGCATGTCGGTATTTTGTCAGTTTTTGTTTGTTTTCTATTTGTTAATTTTATCTTCGTTTCTTTTGGCTGTTTTTATTTTATTTTTGTCGTCATCATCATCATCATCATCATCATCATCATCATCATCGTCCTCGTCGTCGTCGTCATTATCATCACTACTGCAGCAAAGTATTTATGATAAATATTTAATAAGGTATCTGGTTCTGTACTGTTTGACAATGAGAATAGCTATATTGTCTTCAATGGAATAAGGATTCTTTCACTAGCAAATCCAAAAGGAGGAATCGTTGATTGTTTTTACCTTTATTTGTAGGAACTCTTGCACTTTATGGCATTCACACATCATATGAACTATGGTTTCTCCTCATAAGTTACAAAAATACACACTGATCTGAGAACCTGATGCAACTTCTACTATTAAAGCCACTGCATTGTAGTATTCACGGAGTTTAATCTATCCGATCCAGTCTATTTCTGGTAAAATTAATCGGTTGTGTTTCATTTGCGTCTACCAGATGATATCGCGTTTGTTTGATTGAAAATCATACAAAAGACACACAAGCGATAACATATGTTAATACAAATTTTAATACGATACAATAGGGCCAGACCATGAATTGAACTACATCATACAGTATCCGCCAGTGACAAGAGCCCACAGTTTGAAGCCTTGGAGATGACCGAGGAAAATCCGAAGTGATCAAAAGAAAAGTCAGAGTTTAGACGGGGAGGTGCACCAGACCCATGGTGAATTAAGTGAATTTCGTGATTTTCATATGTGTGATTATTTAGAAAGAATTATATAAAAGCCCAGACCCGTTATTGTTTTACTTCAAAGATAAGTACAGTCTGATAAACGACAGGGCGATAAACTGGAGGATGTGTTCTTAAGCCTCCACATTTTCCGGTGTTGTTTGGTTTTTATAAATCCTCGGTCCACATCGTTGGTTCCATTTGTTTTGGTCTCTCATTGGCTCGTATTCTTGTTTCCATTTGCTTTTGTATTTCTTTGTTTTATTTCTGTTTGGCGTCTGTTTGTCGTTCCTTATGGTATGATGCCTGATGTGGCCATGTTGTTGTCGTTTATAATGGTATGATGTCTGATGTGGCCATGTTGATGTCGTTCCTTATGGTTTGAGGTCTCAAGTGGTCATGTTGTGGTCGTTCCTTTTGGTTTGATGTCTAATGTGGCCATGTTGTTATCGCTCCTTATGGTTTGATGTGCGATGTGGCCATGTTGTTGTTGTTGTCGTTCCTTATGGTTTGGTGTCCGATGTGGCCATGATGTTGTCGTTTATAATGGTATGATGTCTGATGTGGTCATGTTGATGTCGTTCCTTATGGTTTGGTGTCCGATATGGCCATGATGTTGTCGTTTATAATGGTTTGATGTCTGATGTGGTCATGTTGTGATCGTTCCTTATGGTTTGATGTCTGATGTGGCCATGTTGTTGTCGTTCCTTATGGTTTGAGGTCTCAAGTGGTCATGTTGTTGTCTTTCCTTATGGTTTGAGGTCTCAAGTGGTCATGTTGTCGTCGTCCCTTTTAGTTTGATGTCCGATGTGGCCATGATGTTGTCGTTCATTATGGTTTGGTATTTCCCCAGTTCATGCTTCTGTTTCCTTTTAAATTAATGTCTCATCTTGTTGTTGTTTTGGTTGGTTTCCAGGCCCCCTACTTTTCTAAACTTTGCTCTTTTTGTTTTCAGGTCTCCTTAACTCAAATGTTGTATAAGTTTATTTGTGTTCCCTTAAATTCTACTGCCGTGTTGTACATCACCTCCTGCTCGTTGAACTTTTCTATATTCACTTGATATGAAGGTAATTTCGTCTTCGCCACTATGTCTCGTTATGTTTGACATTGTCACAAGTTAATCTTTTCCTTATTTTAAACGCATTTAAATTCATACATAAAGATTCGCAGACCGAGGACAAAACTTTCACCAATGGATTTCTTTTGAACACAGAGTGCTTACACCAAGTAAGAGAGCTGAGGTCGTGTCAAGGTCGGGTTGCCACGATCACTTCGTTGGAATTAGTTGATTAATTCGACCTGAATGATATGTCTAATCTGTCAGACTATCTATTGTAGCCATAACCTCTTTGGAGTTAGGTACATTCAGTATTTCATATGATTAACCTGTAATTTCCTAAACAGATATCGACTCGCCTGTAATTTTATCAATGGTTGGTCTACCTATATAGATATTGATTCGCCTGTAACTTTATCAATGATTGGTCTACCTATATAGATATGGACTCGCCTGTAATTTAATCAATGGTTGGTCTACCTATATAGATATCAACTCGCCTGTAATTTTATCAATGATTGGTCTACCTATATAGATATGGACTCGCCTGTAATTTTATCAATGGTTGGTCTACCTATATAGATATCAACTCGCCTGTAATTTTATCAGTGGTTGGTCTACCTATATAGATTACGGCTCGCCTGTAATTTTATCAATGGTTGGTCTACCTATATAGATATTGACTCGCCTGTAATTTTATCAATGGTTGGTCTACCTATATAGATAACGGCTCGCCTGTAATTTTATAAATGGTTGGTCTACCTATATAGATTACGGCTCGCCTGTAATTTTATCAATGATAGGTCTACCTATATAGATTACGGCTCGCCTTTAATTTTATCAATGGTTGGTCTACCTATATAGATATCAACTCGCCTGTAATTTTATCAATGACTGGTCTATCTATATAGATATCAACTCGCCTGTAATTTTATCAATGGTTGGTCTACCTATATAGATTACGGCTCGCCTGTAATTTTATCAATGGTTGGTCTACCTATATAGATATTGACTCGCCTGTGATTTTATCAATGGTTGGTCTACCTATATAGATTACGGCTCGCCTGTAATTTTATAAATGGTTGGTCTACCTATATAGATTACGGCTCGCCTGTAATTTTATCAATGATAGGTCTACCTATATAGATTACGCCTCGCCTGTAATTTTATCAATGGTTGGTCTACCTATATAGATATCAACTCGCCTGTAATTTTATCAATGGTTGGTCTACCTATATAGATATGGACTCGCCTGTAGTTCTATAAATGATGGGTCTACGTATATAGATATGGACTCGCCTGTAATTTTATCAACGATTGGTCTACGTATATAGATATGGACTTGCCTGTGATTTTATCAATGATGGGTCTACCTATATAGACATAGACTCGCCTGTAATTTTATCAATGGTTGGTCTACCTATATAGATTACGGCTCGCCTTTAATGTGTTTTATTGTTCTACCTATATAGATATTGAATCGCCTGTAGTTTTATCAATGGTTGGTCTACCTATATTGACTCGCCTGTAATTTCATCAATGATTTGTCTACCTATATAGATATCAACTCGCCTGTAATTTTATAAATGATTGGTTTACCTATATAGATATAGACTCCCCTGTAATTTTATCGATGATTGGTCTACCTATATAGATTACGGCTCGCCTTTAATGTGTTTTATTGTTCTACCTATATAGATATTGACTCGCCTGTAATTTTATCAATGAAGGGTCTAACTATATAGATATTGACTCGCCTGTAATTTTATAAATGATTGGTTTACCTATATAGATATAGACTCGCCTGTAATTTTATCGATGATTGGTCTACCTATATAGATTACGGCTCGCCTTTAATGTGTTTTATTGTTCTACCTATATAGATATTGAATCGCCTGTAATTTTATCAATGGTTGGTCTACCTATATTGCTCGCCTGTAATTTTATCAATGATTGGTCTACCTATATAGATATCGGCTGGCCTGTAATCAGTTTATAATGAGTTATGGACATTTACACAGCAGAACGTAAATCCGATTCATAATGTATGGATTCTATGATATTGCTTGAGAATGCAGACCAAACCAGCAGACTGGAGACGCATCGAGAAAATTGAAACAGGAGGGAATACTGGCAGAGGAAACAACAAAACTGTACTAGCTGTTTCAGCCGAAGAGAGAATAAGATAACACGAGCTGAGGAGAAAACAATTCGAACTTCTCGTCTGAGGAGACAACAAAACAACCCAAACTGAGGAGGCAACGAACCAAACACGAACTCAGAAATTAACAAGACAAACGGATTAAAAAGATAACGAAAAGATATTTACTTAGGAGGGAACTGAACGACCCTGAGGAGGCAAAAAACCCGAATTCAAAAGAAAAAAAGGGACATTAACCGGCAATACAATACCAAACAAAGTGGTATTAAGATAACTCCAACTGAAAAAGAGAAAAGGGACAGCAAAACAACTCGAGATGAAATACAATATGAAATCAGAAGACAACACATTTTTTTCCGAAACAAAAACTCAACACACATAAATCTTTTGCTGTAGTTTTGGTTTCATCATAAAATGCTTCACTTCTATTTCGACAAAAGCACTAGAACCTAACGGCGCCATTGTCACGAAATCGGACTAAATAGCAAGAGAACGAGTTCGCTTTATTTTGACAAAATTACGTTCATGTGTATGAAAGTTAAATTGAATTAAAATGTAAACAAAGCATTTCAGCCACAGGAAATCGTTCCACCAAACTGCAAAAGAAAAGCTGCGGACCTAAGCATATATTTACAACATGTGTGTATATTGTTGACATTTAACATAACTGGTTCAAAACTGCGATTTGATATATTTAGCATGCAAATGAAATACCGGGTTCACTTTGTTTATGTTGAATGGGATATATATGTAAAATAACGCCATGGGAATTTTAAAACATTATTGTTTAAACGAATACTATTGTCTTGTAGTTATCAAAAAATTCTAACTACGCTCATTATGTATGGGTTGTGTGTTATGTGATGTCATACAAATGCTAGGTTTCATCAAGCATGACACTTTGTTAACTGATCGGAATATTAAAGTCTACATATGAACTCTGAATATAAGTAAGGAACAGTTGTAATATAATTCATTACTGCTTACGTATCGTAAACCTACATTTGACATTGATTGGTAAAGAATGTGTTACAGTTGCGGTCTATGTTGAAAAAACCTACATGACACTTGAACTTGACATTTTGTGCTATGTAAATGTGACTAATTAAAATGAGACTCATATTGCCAGTTAGTCTACACTCCTGACAGACATGTTACACTAAAACATATTTTTGACACCGTGCTTGTATTAATCTATAATTTAGCCTATCAATCAATCAGTTTTATTGGATTGTTACATCCAAACACAAGATCGATACCAAAAATTCTAAAACAAAACATATCTGTACATCTGCAAACAATTTAAGAATCGATCAATATGTTATATACAGCCTATGCTTTATAAAAACCTGCCTTCCTCAGTTCAGGTATGGATCATATTAGTTAATATATTAATTACTTAATAAGGGTTTTCTACGGGAGAGGTATACGTGTACTCCACTCTATTTCAGTGTTCATAGCGAGTTACCTAGCTATACATATATATTGAATATCTGTGTGTGCCAAACGCATCTTCATTCACCGTATGACCTGTCTCTTTCTTTCTCCTGGTGTTTTTATCTAACCATGCATGCCGAGCCTCCTATTCCATAAAAAGTTCCTTTTTGGGAAGAGATGATGACGACTTTACAGAATTCACCACTAAATTTATTTATGGGAATAGTATACATCTCTTTCTGTTCGTCACCAAGTTCCAAACTCCTATTTTGATGCTACATCTATATCTGTTTTCTATTTCTAAATTCATGCTCAAATTTTGGTGGTACAAGGATTTTTTTCTGGAAGAAAGATTAAAAGTTTTCTGAATTCAAAACATTCCTGATTTTTTTTCTGCTGACAAGAAACATTTTTTGTACGATTCTTAAATTATGCTGAAGTGATAATTTTGAATACCAGGACTTGCTATAACTTTGGAAAGCAGTCGTCCCTGGTACATACAAATCAATGACAAACAATTCTTCATTGCTGTGAATACAACACAGCTGTATAGTTGGGCTAATTTGATATTTATAGCATGTACTTGGCAAACAATTTAAAACTGAACGCAAGGATGTATGTTATTCAACTGCAGTTTGTGTAAACAAACCACCGTCGCTGTTTAAACAACCTGTCGTCCTCGCTGCCCTCTCCTTTGCTGATTAACCAATTATTCTGTCTACTATATATCTAGGAAGTGTGTCAAAGGTATCAAGTTTCAGTGGAAGGCGATCGAAGCTAGAGAACCTGTGTGTCAGGGTGGTATGATACTTGCTGGTAATTTATTGTAAATATCTAATTTTAGATGTGGTTATTAATATAATGTTGTTTTTTCAATTTTCGAAATAGGATATATTTTTTAGCGTTCATATGTGATTAAACATAAAAAATATATGTCCACTTAGGTTTGATACGTTATAAAGGCTACTGTTTGCATTTGTTAACACAAAACAATTTGATTATGTAGTGCTGAAGTTTTTGTCGGCGATGACTTAGGTGAAGTACGATGAACACCTTGTTCTTATTCGCTATGTCAATGCCACTCCATTTTGAGATATAAACGGTTGCCAATGTTGTTGAGGTCTACGGTTTTGCTTTTTTCCCCAAAGATAGAATAAAATCGGGTAAAAAATCGACACATCGATAAGAAAATCAACAGAGAAAATATAACTTCAGTGAAAAATAAACCTCTTTTGCTTTAAACTTTTGGTAAAACCTCGAGACTTTGAGCAGGATCAGTTTGTAACTGTTGCCTATCAGCTTTAGATGCAATCTTCAACTTGATTATTCCGACCTTATGTCAGAACAGCAAAATGTAACAAGAAGGAGCGTGTTAAATTAAAGCAAAATATAACAAGAACATACCCACATGTCAACATAATCATAGTCCAAATGCAGGCGTATCCAGAAATGGAAAATTCATAATATGGAAATAGAAATCATAACGATTATCATACAGTTTGGTGGAAAGCTGTCCATGTTGGATTCATTGTATGAAAAGATCGAAATAGGCGGTTGATCCAGTTGTGATGGATATATACGATGGACGTGAAAGTAGTGTATTCATCTACAAGATATTGGTAACGAAATTATAAAAACAACTATGGTGTTACCAAACAACTGTGATGTGTATACTTAATGAAAAAATAAAGAAGGCATGTTACTGCACAGCAAATGACAGTTACACATTCGTGTACATAGTAGGTACTGACAATTAGCAAATATTCTTTTAAATACGAGGAGGAATAGTAACTGTTAAGCAAATAATAGTAATGTATTCAAATAGTGCGTACTGGCTGATATATAGATAGCAAAGCAGCTATGCAGAGTAAACGTCATGATATAAGATGGAAACGAATTCTATCTTTCTCTGTTTATACCGTAACCAAAAACAGTGTGGATTTTAAAACACGTGGAAAATAAACAATAATTTTACATGATACGATAGGTATCTATTTTGATATACCTCTTAAATATAGGATCCAAAAATATACCAATTACGATGGTTTATTTGCGTATATCTTGAGAGAAATCGACAAGGCAGCCATGTGTTGTTCGGTAAATGATAATAACGATGGCAGAACCTTACATTTTCCCACCTGCTCATTACTTTCAGGTGACCCTGTTCTCCAGCCCGAGGAGCTTTGAAGCGGAAGCATGCTACAAACCTTCACATAACATCCTGCGGATTATTACGGCAGCTGGCTTGGCATCAAACGGTACAGTATGAGGCTACTGAGGGGGACTTGTTTACCACAAGGCGTAGATTTACTGGTTTAGTATCCATGGTATTCTCCGGGGTTAATGAATGCATCTTACTGAACAGTGTATATACAATCAACATAAATTCATAACTTTATCTAGAAAATGAAGAAAGGGTTTGTATTATGCAAAATTTCAACGTGTTGTGTCACTGAATAAGATTGATTTTACGACAAATTTACATACATAACAATTATGATAATTTCAAAAAGAGGGTCCGTGATATCCGATTTTGCCAGAGTTGGCCTATGTAACCTTAGGTGACGATACGAATTGCGAGGTTCGATACTCTCTACTCGTAGCGCTTTGTGTTTCTAAGAAACGGACCTGTCTGTGCTGTTGTAGTTTTTGTCCTTCATCAGGACACTTTCCGCTTGTTGCTCTGGATAGCATGGATTGGGTCTCCCGTATGTTGCTCGGTGAGGTGGCCATCAGCTACTACAATGATAAAAAATGCCCTTTGCCTTTCAGGATCGACCAAACAAAACACACAACCCAAATCAAAATATATGGTTTCTGCTGAAGGCATTCATCAAACATGTAATCTCAAGTAGTGACAGATAGCAGGTTAATACATTTGGGTTCCTACCTTGTGAGTCTTACGTATTTTGACAACATGCAAATATTCTGTCACATCACAGGACATTGCAAAGAGTAACAGAATTGGCTTGTTTTTAACATACAATAAAGAATGGTAATACAGCACCAAACAGTTGTGTGTGGAATTGTACTATAGAGACGGTCATTATCAAGTCATATACTGGTAATTTATGACCATCACATTCTACATCAAACGTTACCTATGGGCCTATTGAATATATTTTATGTGCACTGTTGTATATTATGATTTATAACTCATACTTCATGTACAAATGATATGGCTGATATTGAAGTGTTGAAACAAAGAATATAGCTTGTACATCGGTTTTAAATATCAAGATAAAGATAAACATTTAATCTGATAAAAAGTTTTTGATTTTAGACGAATCTGTACGACACATGTACTGCTATATATAAAAATATCGACAACGATCATTTCAGCCTCTGAAACATCTAGTCTATTCTCCCGTTTATATTTTGCCGAGTTTCATCGGGTTTCAGTCTTAAGATTCTATGGACGGTATGGGTTGTGTTTGGTTGTGACTATATCGATATTTTTAAGGTATTTATTCAGATCCTATGGACGGTATGGGTTGTGTTTGGTTGTGACTATATCGATATTTTTAAGGTAATTATTCAGATTCTATGGACGGTATGGGTTGTGACTATATCGATATTTTTAAGGTATTTATTCAGATCCTATGGACGGTATGGGTTGTGTTTTGTTGTGACTATATCGATATTTTTAAGGTATTTATTCAGATCCTATGGACGGTATGGGTTGTGTTTGGTTGTGACTATATCGATATTTTTAAGGTATTTATTCAGATCCTATGGACGGTATGGGTTGTGTTTGGTTGTGACTATATCGATATTTTTAAGGTATTTATTCAGATCCTATGGACGGTATGGGTTGTGTTTGGTTGTGACTATATCGATATTTTTAAGGTATTTATTCAGATCCTATGGACGGTATGGGTTGTGTTTGGTTGTGACTATATCGATATTTTTAAGGTATTTATTCAGATCCTATGGACGGTATTGGATGTGTTTGGTCGTGACTATATCGATATTTTTAAGGTAATTATTCAGATTCTATGGACGGTATGGGTTGTGACTATATCGATATTTTTAAGGTAATTATTCAGATTCTATGGACGGTATGGGTTGTGACTATATCGATATTTTTAAGGTAATTATTCAGATTCTATGGACGGTATGGGTTGTGACTATATCGATATTTTTAAGGTATTTATTTTTAAGGTATTTATTCTATGGACGGTATGGACGGTATTCAGATCCTATGGACGGTATGGGTTGTGTTTGGTTGTGACTATATCGATATTTTTAAGGTATTTATTCAGATCCTATGGACGGTATTGGATGTGTTTGGTCGTGACTATATCGATATTTTTAAGGTATTTATTCAGATCCTATGGACGGTATGGGTTGTGTTTGGTTGTGACTATATCGATATTTTTAAGGTATTTATTCAGATCCTATGGACGGTATTGGATGTGTGTTTGGTCGTGTGTTATATCGATATTTTTTTAAGGTATTTATTCAGATCCTATGGACGGTATTGGATGTGTTTGGTCGTGACTATATCGATATTTTTAAGGTATTTATTCAGATCCTATGGACGGTATTGGATGTGTTTGGTCGTGACTATATCGATATTTTTAAGGTATTTATTCAGATCCTATGGACGGTATTGGTTGTGTTTGGTCGTGACTATATCGATATTTTTAAGGTATTTATTCAGATCCTATGGACGGTATTGGATGTGTTTGGTCGTGACTATATCGATATTTTTAAGGTATTTATTCAGATCCTATGGACGGTATTGGATGTGTTTGGTCGTGACTATATCGATATTTTTAAGGTATTTATTCAGATCCTATGGACGGTATTGGATGTGTTTGGTCGTGACTATATCGATATTTTGTTAAGATATTTAGCTTGTGAGATTAATTTATTTTCGATTATCGATATCAGTCAGCAAATATTGTCTAGGGTAGGATAATTTACGTACTTACTAGATCCTTATACTGACCATTCCGTTGTGTATCTCAAGTGAAATGAATTTTCGATGTATTGAGATAAACTAACACACTAACCTTTTTATTTGGATCTAGTCTAAAACAGTGAGTTTAATCTAATAGACAATGTGACAAGTTGTAAGCATCAAACAGTTTTGTTCTGAATTGAGAGTACTTAGGTCAAGGAAAGAAAAAGTGGTTTTAAGATTTCACACGAAAGTAAAATCTACAAATATTTTTTCTTGAAATTGGTGGTCGACAATATCTTTTCTATAGTTAGACAATGATATCTACTGCAGAGCTTTATAATAGGATGTTTAATATTTTCCCCATGTTTGAATATAAATAGAATGGAGCTCCTTCTCCTACAATGATAAATACCTATCAAAACTTCCCGGTTTATATTTTCTGGAAGTGCAATATAGTTTCCCGACTATAGCAATAAATTGTTCTCAAGTTAAAAATATGTTCCTCTAATTGGCTCACTGAATAATTTTTAACATTGTAAAAATTCTTACCAAGAGTTTGAAACTAACACTTAGAATTAGCTTGAGACAATTACAACTTGAAAGTGACAGGCATTGTGAAGTTATTGAGGCATTAGAAAATTAGCTTAAACTAATTAGGGAGAATATAATAAAAGGGCTTATTTAAAGAGCAAAAACAAAATGCAAATTTGACCGTGAATGAAGTTCAAGTTTTTTTTCTGTAATTCTGTAAACATTATCAAGACAAAATAATCCGAAAAATTAAAACAGAATCTAGCGTGGAATTAAATCATATATTTAGAAGAACAATTTCTTACCATAATCTTTACACAAGCTCAATTACTGACGATGTACAAGTAATTGAAATGAATCCCCTTTTAATAATGAAATTTCTTATATTGATACACTCTCCATCGAACAAAGAAACCAATTAGAAGGAATTATTCATTATCAAGAATGTCTTCATGCTCTCAAAAATATGAGTAATAGTAATCTCCTGGAATAGATGGATTTACCGTTGAGTCATGGAAATTCTTTGGTCAAATATTAATATATTTTTAATTAGCGCTCTAAGTCAAGAATGTGAAGAGAACATTTTCTCAATAACACAACATCAAGGTGTAATTACATGTATTCTGAAAGAAGGTTAGTCTAAACTATATGTAGAAAACTGGAGACCAATTACTTTGTTAAATATTGATTATGAAATTACTTCCGCAGTCATTTCAAATAGAATTAAGTCAGTATTAAATAGCCTTGTAAGTGAAACACAAAAGGGTTTTTAAAAAGGTAGATATATTTGTGAATGTGCCAGACAAATTTACGGCTTGATAGAAAAAACAGAAAAGAAAAATATTCCAAGTTTACCTTTGCTTATTGATCTTGAGAAAGCTTTCGACTCGTTATAATTTAATTATATCTATTAATCACTTCCTTTCTTTGGTTTTGGCTCCATAATTTTTAAATGGATAAGAACTTTTATAGTAATAATTTCTGTTTTGTTCTAAATAATGACACTGTTCAATGATTGTTTGAAGTACACGAAGGGGTTCGACAAGGTGACCCAATTGGTCCGTGTATTTTACGTGTTGAAATTGATGGCTCGGTAATACAATTTAATCCTAATATTGAGGATATAAAATACACGATTCAGAATACCTTACAAAATGAGTTTGTAGATGATACATCATTCACATTTTCGGATATGCGCTGGAATCGTTAAATGTTTTGGCAAGGTCTCTGGTCGGAAGATAAATATAGATAAGACACAGGCAATATGGATTAGGGTTAACCAGAGTTGTGGAGAAGAAATAATTCCAGAGAGAAAGGAACGTTTAAATTGTTAGGAATTAATTATGATTTTCATTTTAATAAAACTTTTTGAAGATAATAGGAGAAGTTAAGTTAAGTAAAGAAACTTTTAAATTAGTTTAGAAACCTTACATATATCTGAAAGGTAACCGTAATAAAAACTTTAGCTTTGCCTATACTTATACAAACTCTTACTACACAACCAGATCCACTTCTACATGTTGTCCAAGAACTACAGAAATGTGTGTTTTTAATTCATATGGAATGGAAAAGCAGATAAAGTTAAGCGACAGTCATGTTTAGTGACTACAATGAGAGTGGGTTTCGAGTACCCATATCTTGTCTATGTGTCATGCTATGTATAGTGACTACAATGAAGGCGGGCTTCGGGTACCCCATATCTTGTCTATGTGTCATGCTATGTATAGTGACTACAATGAAGGTGGGTTTCGGGTGCCCCATATCTTGTCTATGTGTCATGCTATGTATAGTGACTACAATGAAGGGTGACTTCGG